ACTGTATCTCTTCTCTCCACTTTCCCTAATTGCAGATTCAATTATTAGATTTGTCAGTATTAATATTTTTATGCTTAGATTCTTTTTGGGGGGGGGATCAAACTGTAACACCGTGTGTCCCAACCCGACGTGACGCGATAAGAAGTATCTTTTCCATGTAGTTTTTGTCCTAACCACCCGTGACAGTGACACGTGACAATAAGCGTCATGGGATTCTATTTTAAGGAAAGTTTTTTATTTTCTGCGACGTCCCGGCAGGAACAACATACAAAATATGACAGTGATAATCTCAGGTAATGATTATGTGCTTTATTCAATGTTAAAAGTGTCTAATGTGAGTTTGAATATTATTTTGCGTTATCTTTATAGCCATAGTGAAAGCAACAATAGATATTTTACCTCAGATCTTGAAAATAAATTAAAGCAAACTTGTACATTAAAACTGTGAACTCACTGCGAACCAACACATGTATTCCATAACAAAGATATCAGTCACTCACTCACTCAAAACTGTTAAGTCCATTCACATTTGAATCATCTATTTTCCGTGTCCACTTTTCTTTTCTACACTCTTGTGATGTTTTTGCTGTCACATCGTATCTACACTGGACGCGACAAAGCATTGCAAATCATTTGAACATTGTGTCAATACGTTATAAATAGAACAAATCAGCAGTTTACTGTCGGGGGTTTGTCCTGTCGCGCCGCATCCAAGACAGCATCACTGATTACAACCAGTTCTATTGTATTTTATTGCGCCGCCCCGCTGGCGTCCGGTGTAGACACGATGCAAGTTAATGTAGCTTTCTGATGCTGCGTTTGAATTTTCATGCCACATTATTTGAAATTAGTGCGGGCCAAACTTTTTTCTCTCACGGGCGGGATGTGGCCCGAGGGCCGCCTATTGAGGAACCCCGGTGTAGAGCATGCACTATAAGTTGGTGCAATTCATTCCTAGTGAATTCCCCACTAAGAGTTTTACTTACACTAGATGTGTGTATATCGAAAAAAATTTATATATCTGTGAACATAAAGGGATGTTTGACTGATATGTCCTGGTGTTCTGATAGGTCTCGGTCAGTTAGCGGAGCTTCAACCGGCCTCTCATCCAGTCCCCTCAGCAGCCCTCGAGTAAGTTACTCCTCACCTTTAACTGAAATTGAATTAGAAGTAAAATACTACTTTGTAGAGCTCAGTTTACAATGGTGAAAGGTATTGTGATTGTTCTTGTTATTGTGGTATGAATAGCAAAGCTGAACTGGATTCAGCTGCTCTTTTTATGTTCATCTATCATACTGTCCTCATACTGGAGTCATTATCCACACCAAACTCACACAAAAATGTTAAGCTTGTTTTAACTTGCATTTTGCACATTAATTAACCACCTAATTGTTTACTAATTTATACTAGATTTCACGTGCTTCTCAATGAGCTATGGATCATTTTCCTAACTCTTCTCAGTTTAATTCTAATGTTAATAATCATATACCCATATCTTTCATTAACGCTCATGACCATTGCTGTGTCCATCTCTCCATTCCTCTTTCCCTCTCCATCCTTCTGTCCTTTCTCTTCCTACCTGTCAGAGCCCAGTTTTCACTTTCAGACAAAATGAAGTCACATCTGCTTCCACCACCCAGTCCAAAGACCCCAAAGCAGGAAGTTCCACCACAGCCCGGGCGTCCCAACGCGCACCTGACCAAAAAACCCAGACCCTACCCTCAAAAGCAGCCTCTGAGCGTCCCCACCTGCAGTCTATGAAGTCCCTCCCCCTGCAGACTTCTCCGTCTCCTTCACCCTCCCCCTCTCCGCTACTGTCCCCCATCCCTCGCTTCTTCTTCCCTGCTTCTTCTGTCCTGAAGTCTGTCACTAAGACCATCTATCCTAACTCTGCCCATGTGTCGCAGGTCACCCCACAGGGCTCCCCACTCCCCACCCCTCTGGGGACTCCTGTGCACCATCCCCAGCACCCCCCTCCCACCCCGCCCTCCTCCTCCTCCTCTTCTTCCTCCACACGAGCTGAAGGAGGTGGTGGTTCCATGTCCTTAACCCCACCCTCCAGTCCTGGGGGAAGTGGTGGAATGGCTGCCAGTAGTTCAGCCCACTGGAGGACACGCCTCAACTCCTTCAAGAACAACCTGCTGGGTTCGCCACGCTTCCACCGCCGAAGGCTACAGGGTGAGAGGAGCATCGCCTTATTATTGCTGTCATTGAGTCAAACATCATTGTAACATTTTTTTTATTTGTTTCAATAGTTCCTACGTCAGAAGATATGTCCAGTTTAACTCCAGAGTCCAGCCCAGAGTAAGTATTTATATATTCACCGTTATCTTCATGTTAATCTTTAAAACAAAAAATAAATTAAAATATCAATGTTAAATGTAATCTTTAACAAATTTCGATATATTAATTTTTCATACTGTACATTCTGTTTTGTTATTACTATAACTAAAACTAATAAAAATTATTTTTATTATTCAAAATAAAGATGAAATGAAATAAAAAATATATTAGATGAAAAAGTGAAACAAAAACGTATGTACTATTATATACTGTAATAGTACATAACACTAAAATAACTGAGTGCATTATAATGTTGTGATACTTAAATTTGATTAAAAAATAAAACCAATGGTTTTAAATGCTTCAGTGTTTAATCTTACATTTATTTACACAAAGTAGAATTTTAATATTAGTAATTTATTGGTTATCAGCTATAACATGAAAACAATTACAAAATTGTAATATTGGTGCATTTTACATGTGCTATGTGTTATACGTTTAGCGTTGCCACAGCAAAAACTATGATTCAGTGTGTTTGTTCTGAAGCTTTTTCAGCATATTTGGCTACTTTTCCCTGAACATGTACAATTCTAGGAATGAAGGCAGATGAGAAGACCCTTGCAAAAGTATTTTTTGTATTTTCAAAGACAGAGGTGTAAAGAGTACCTGAAAACCATACTTGAGTAAAAGTACAGATACCTTACAGTAAAAACTCCATTACAAGTTACAAGTCACCTATTCCAAAACAACTTGAGTAAAAGTCTTAGAGTATCTGATTTAAAAAGTGCTTAAGTATTTTACTTGTACTAAATACAGACTCAAAGATGCACTGGTCAAAGGACATGCCAGTGAAAAACAAGTAAGATTTGATTTATGAGTAGACCAATCATATTTATTTTCTAAAACCAAAACCTCATATTTATTTTCTAAAAAGTAAAACTGAAAACCTCAAAATTGCAAAAAAAAAAAAGCCTTCTTGCACTGGCTGCAGTCATGTCCTCATCTCAAATAAGAACAGAACTACAGTTGTGTGATTCACAACTACTTGCTAAGAAACTCACATTCACGTAAAGTAGCCTTGTTGACAAGTTTGGGTGAGTAAGGGCAAAACGCACAAGATATTGCACTTTCAGTGCCCTGTAGTTGGCGATATCACTTCTTTTGTAGAGGAAATAAACTGGTGCAGATAAATCTAGGTGCCATGCAAAATGTAATGTGTAACTGCAACACTCATTACAAATTTAATGGAGTAAAGAGTACAGATACTTATTCAAAAATGTAGTGGAATAGAGAGTAAGAGTTGCTAATATCTTTGATACTCAGTAAAACTACAGAGTATCCAAAAAGATAATCAAGTACAGTAATTAATTACATTTACTCAGATACTTTACACCACTGTTAAAAGATAATTTATTTATCCAATTTATTTATCCATTCTTATTTATCCAAATAACTAGATCCATTCATGCTGTTAAAACGTCCATAATGTGTATTTGCTGTAGAATGAGAGCCATGAAACTGCATGTGTAATTTATGTTTTGTGTATTAATCTACATATAATTTGATCGTTTTCTATAGGCTGGCAAAGAAGTCGTGGTTTGGAAATTTCATCAGTCTGGAAAGGGAAGAGCAAATTTTTGTGGTGATCAGAGACAAGCCACTAAGCTCAATCAAGGCTGACATTGTCCACGCTTTCCTATCGGTTAGTATCATTTTAATATGTTATGTGTTTCCTTTCCTCTTCCTCCTTCTCTTCATCTTCCTCTTCACTTCAAATAAGCTTTGTTCATAATTTTTTGATGTATGTCTCTGTTCTCCTCTAGATTCCCTCCCTGAGTCACAGTGTCATCTCTCAGACAAGTTTCCGGGCGGAGTACAAGTCCTCCGGAGGTCCGTCTGTCTTCCAGAAGCCTGTCAAATTTCAGGTTGACATTGCCTTTTCTGAAGGAGAGAGAGAACGAGAGAGGGAGAAAGAGAGAGAAAGGGAGGGAAGGAGAGAGACTGGCATCTACAGCGTCACCTTCACCCTGTTATCAGGTATTTAAAAAGATGAGAGAGCCAGTGTCATGAGTCTGTACATGCTGTAATTTCTACAAATGTGATAATATTGTTTTTCAGGTCCTAGTCGCAGGTTTAAAAGAGTGGTAGAGACCATTCAAGCTCAGCTTCTCAGTACACATGACCAGCCCTCTGTGCAGGCGCTTACAGGTGACTGTTCCATGTCTACACTTCCCCCAAAAAACATCTACTCATACACAATAAGTTAAATGTATCTCCCCCCATTTCATTTTATTATATTGTTTTTGTATTTTGCATGTACATTAGTTGTTACTCTATAAAAACTAATGTACACTTAATTTTTGGCAATATTGTTGACTTGATTGCATAGACACTATTTGAAGAGAACTGAACTGAGCTGGACAATGACATCACTGAATCAATGATGAACTGACTTTAGCTGAACAATTGAGTGTTTACTATTGTCCTCTTGTATTATCGACACACTGTTTTCCTGTTTAACACTGTAAAGCTGCTTTCACACAATTTGTATTGTATAAAGCGCTATATAGATAAAGTGACTTGACTTGACTTGACTAATTGCAAGTTTCAGTTTTAGGGCAGCCAAAGTTTATGTGGTAACTGGTATAATTTAAAAATGAAAAAACAACAAATTAAAACAAGATTAAACTTTATCTTTAAATAAATATCCAGTGGCATTTTCATGCATAATGCAGGCAAAATGTGTAGGTTTTACATTTTATAATATACCATGTACCAAAATCTAAAACTAAAATTAATAGTTTGATTTTTAGATCTTTTATCTTATTTTTATTAGAGAAATGTGAAGGCTTCAAATTTTATAATGTACCATGTATCAAACTCTGAAACTAAAATTCATTTGTGACAATTTATTTTCTTGATTTTAGTGTACTTTTATTTTTATTTCAGTTAACAAAAATGTTTTCAAATCCCCACCTTCATGTTTTATGTTTTTCTTCTCCCAGATGAGAAAAATGGGCTTTCATCTCGCCCACCCAGCACACCGACCCGTCAGAACTCTCGTCGCTCGGAGGGCGGAGGTGATCGTGGTGAGCGATCAGAACGCGGCGATCGAGGAGAAGCGAGCAGTATTGGCGGTAGTGCGAGTGTACTACAAAGGAAGGGGTCTGGCAAGGATAAAACTCGCCTCCTTTCCTCAAATGGGACCCAGTCTCAGCCCTAACTGAACTAATCAGACAAGCTTTTGAGCGGGTGGGGACAATCCCCGCTCTTGATTCTCTCCAGACACGACTCCCTCATAGTCCATCTGCACAGTACACAACAACAGGTATACTCAGCCTTGATTTTCACATTACTAGCGGAAACCCTGGGATCCAACTGCAACAATAGGAGAGTCAGGAGTCTATCCACATGGAAGTGTTCTTACATGCAAATAATCGTCTGATGAAAAAATTATGATATCACTTATCCTTCTTAGGAACAAAGGATTTGAAAAGTGGAAGCAAGATGTATCGCTTAATATAAACCCCAGCTATAAATGATTTCATACAGTACAAACAAGGAGATTGACATACCGGTGAACATCCAGTGATCTAATGGCAACAAACTATTCAAGGAGGAACAAACACTAAGTGGGACAGGAAAGAATGTCTCTAAAACTTATCATCATCATCATCATCATCATCATAAGCAATGATCCATCAGAAAATCACTAAGAGCTGTTTGAGGTAGAGAAAAGCAAACATGTCAGGAAAAAGTGGGAAGTTCTTCATTCTTAACACCACTTGGAGCACAAAAAAAGGATTTCTAGAACACTATGTAAAGAAAAGAATAGGGATTTTTTTAGAACGGGAATCTATTTTGTAACCCAAGATGCTACTATAGTCCTATGTGACTATACCTTCATGATCTGAGTTCAGATGACGCCTTTAGCAAGATGTTAAGTGTTGAAGATATAGGCTATGTTAAACACTGATTGTTCAAGCTTGTGCTGTAGATCTTGAACTCTGATATGTTGTAGATCAAATATTCAGTCAGTGTCAGATATGCAGTGGAGAGCTGTCCACTGGAAGCTACAGTTGGCAAAATTGGGCGGTTTTAAGTCACTGCAGGGCACAGAGGGATGAGCAGGCATCTAGATTTCCAATGACATGTTCACACGGAGACCGAACAAGAGGAACAAAATAGCCAGTTCCTCCTTGTGTCATACAAAGAGACAGCGGGAGAAAAAATTTAAAAGCCTTCACTGTTTTCTCATGTGACTCCTGGTAGAACTTCCATAATAAGTGGAAGTCCACAAAAGTCTTTTTTTTGGTTTCTACTTCGATATTTATATTATATTTTAGAGCTGGGATGTGAAATATTTCCGTCAACAAAATGAAGTGAATGTCAAAAAACAAAAATAGAAATATTTAAAATTGTAATTGATTTATTTAAAGATATTTATTTAAGTTCATATTTATTTATTTATTCATTCATTTATTTATTTATTTACTTATTTGGATTGGATTGGATTAGTGTTGAGGCTGGTAAAGTCAAAATGACAAGGGTAGAAAATGAGAAATTTAGAAAATGGAAGATAAACTCCCTACTTGTATCTGTTCTCAAATATTTCAAAAACAAAGCTGCAAATGTCCTTTTTTTAAAAACATTTCAAAAGCCTAAGATTACCCATCTCATTTTCATTTCATTTTAAATAAAAAAAGAAGCAAACTCACAAAGGAGAAAGCTGGAGAACAACTTTGAAAATCATCCAAGCAATGACTCCATGCCTTGGATGTCTCCCACGGGGAAAATACTTTAAAACCTTCCTGGATGTATGACGTAAAGACGTGAACCTTATGGAAGCAGTGGAACAAAACAGAGGGAATGAGAAGAAGGCCTGCTGTGTTCACTCTTCCTCTTTGAGAATGTTACTCAGACAAGAGCCCAAAGTTTCGGACTTGTGCGTACCGGGCCAGCCTTTCGTTCAAAACGCAAGCAGTATTATTTTTTCACACACACACACACACACACACACACACACACACACACACACACACACACACAAGAAAGAAGACTCTCCTTCTCAAAACTGACAATATGAAACAAAATGAATGATAACTGGACTTTGATACTGGAATGCACTGTCCTAAAAAAAATAGAATTGTATTCAAACAAATAGTTGTCCCTTTCCTCGCCCACCCACGGGAATCGGTGAAGTGCTCTCTTAAGTGCAGACTCAGGATCAGTGGGGCTTTTTAGCTCATTACATTTGTGAATGGGGAGAACCTGATCCTGAATATCCACTTAAAAGCTCTTTCTCCAATGAGCCTCTGCCCTGAAGCCCAGAATCTGACCGTAATGCTCCTCTCTCTCTCTCCCTCCAGTCCACTCTTTTCCTGATGCAAGGAGCACTGAATGCAAAGCAAGGTTTTGCTCTGGTCCTCCCTCTGCCACTATCCCGCAGCCATCACATACACTCCTGCCTAAAAATAGCATAGCAGAAGACAAAGCTTCGGACGGTTCAGTCATCAAGCAGCTCTTGCATCATCCTGGATTGATTTTTCAGTAACACATTGAATATATTTCACTACTGTTGAATGTTTAGGAGCATTGTTCATTAAATATAATACGGGGTACATTCTTATTTTAGTACACTCCAAATACCTTAAATCCACATGTACAAAACGGTCAGCATGTGCGCTCTCAAACATGCCCGGTCACTCACAGAGGCAGAGGAAACGCCAGAGCAAAACCCTGAAGATATTCTATGTTCAATTCTGTTAATTCTCAGGCAGGGTAAGTCTGGGAGTGTGCAAAAACAGACTGTCTGGACACCAGCTCTGTGTGAATGTGAAATACACTCCACATACTTTCTCTGTGTTCATGACACTCTCCTGCTCTACATGTCCATCCTCTCCTCCTCCTCCTCCCTTTCACATTATGCACTGAATGATATTCTGTTTTTGTCACTCGCCTCACACATACAGCACACATATCACATTTCATATGTATCGTTAGTCTTCACATATTTACCATACATTATATACCTCGTCCTGCTCCTGCCTCCCTATCATAGAATTATACTTTAGACCACCCCTTCCCTCTTCTCTCATTATATACATACGCCCTGCCTGCCCCCAATGTATGCTCCCCCCATATCTGTTCATTGTAAACAGAAAATATTACTCATATCTTCATTCTTTATCCATTCTATATTCACCTGATGATTATTGATTATCTTTGTCATCATTACTGATTACTCCTCTTAAGATTGTAAAGCTGTACTCTTTCTTCCCCATTGCGCACAGTAGGAACTTTTTTCATAAGAAATGCAACTCATTAAATTGGAGGGAAAAAAATGGCGAGAAAATAAATGTCTGTGTTATAATAAAAAAAATGAAAGTGCACTATTATTATTGCCTGTGATAAAGAACAATAAATAATACAAAAAAAATCTGTCATTATATTTCCTAATTACCTTGTCTTGCTCCCCATTTCATTTCTGTTGTAACATTATTTGTTTGATATATATATATATTAATGGAGATGTGAAAGATATCATGAGATATCATGTGAAAACTGAGAAACAAAGAAATTAACAATAAGGTTACTGACAAAAATATAAAGAAATATGAGTATCTTTCATAGATAACAAATTCTCCCAAAGGGAATATGTCTGATTGCATTGATAAAATAAACAAGTAGCCTTAGTGGATGTATAATCTATTATGTAGCAACTGATTTGCAATGTATTTTTATCAAGAAGGCAAACTCCATCCAATTAAAGTAGCGGCATAATTGTTTTTCTCTCATTAAAACAAACGTGCATATAACTTAGAGACAAAGCTTTGATGACAGAGTTAAAAGTCCTTGCTGGCAGAGGAAAATTATACAAAGTCATAAATTCTTTATGCTCGAGTACACGGCCACTTATGCTTGTGCCGCGTGATGTCATTACGTATGTAAATGAGAGAGGTAGTGTGTGTGTGTGTGTGTGTGTGTGTGTGTGTGTGTGTTTACAGATTACCTCAGGTATGTGTTGCTTGCTGGGAGTGAAAGGGTGGAGAACGTGAAGTTTACATCTGTCAAAAACCGATTTCAGTCTTACTTGTTCCCGACCTACCATTCAAACTTGCAGGTATGATTTTTCAGACATGTCATGTTTGGCATAAAACCGAAAATACAAATTTGTCTTGGTTTGAAGAACTTTTTTATTTGTAACCGGCAATTATAATGCGTGTTGTGTCGTGTCACTGGTGACTAGCGTTCAGGAATATTCTGGATTGTTGAAGGGGGTGGAGAGCAAGAGAAACTTTACTGGGTGCTGTTTTGTTTGCTTGTTTAATAATAAAGCCAGTTCAAACGTTGATTTACGAAATTTAAACTGTAGCCTTTTCATTTCATAAAACGCCTAAACTGCAAAAAAATTAGGAAACGTGTATTTTCTTATTAATACCTTTTCTTGTACTGTAGCCTACATGCAATATAGCGTTTGAACGGAACCATTATTCTTCTGGACATTTCAGGTTCACCTCATAAGTTAAAAATGACGGCACACAAACATTACTTCACAGCGTTCCCGAGTGATCTCGTGTTTTCTTTAGAGAGCAAAGTCGGAGAATCTGTCAGCTGCATTCAGTGTGAAGGCGAGCTCGAGAGCTCCGGTAAATGATTGCGCGCTGGTATTCGAGGTTCGTTACTAACACGTTTTACCAGTTTAACTGCATTCAAACCTTTATGGTTAAACCTATGAAATCCATGTTTAACGATTAACAAAACCCGAGTCTTTTTCTCCAATGCCAGCCTATGCAATAATGGTGGATAAATGTCATTGTCTCTATTTTTCCCCTCTCCTGTCTCTCAGCTCAGTATGTCTGGTTTTTCAACTATGCGGACTTTTGGCCCTGCCGACTTTTAGAATTCATCTCCTTTAAAACACTTTTTGGAATCTTACAAGTAGCCTGTTTATTTGTTTGTGTGAAACTGTCTCCAAAGGACATTATTAATGATAAATTATTGTTTTAAATGCATTCAAAAATGACATTGTAAACATTTTTGGAATGAAATAAATTGTCTTGCCTTTTGCTAAGTCTCTTTTACAGCTGGCAATTAAATGCACACAGTTAAATAATATTTCAGACTTTATGTGGTTGTCAAATTTGAGTTACTGTATAACAATGAAACTCTGGTAAGTTCAGTGTTTCAGAAAAGTGGGCATATTGTTTGTGTGGGTATGTGCTTTCTCTTCTGTTCTTATTAAATATCAGAATAAATGCTTATACTCATAAGACACATACACTTGAGAATATGTCTGAAAACTGAAAAATGCTCCTTTTTGGATTAAAAGGCTGTACTTCATCAGTTGTAAAGGATGAGTGACAGAGGCCAATGCAACAAACTTTTAGTTACACACAGCTTAACTGCTCTCACTGATAACCTGTTCACTCCAGCTTGGTGTGACCACATCATTTTTATGTTAAACTGAGTCACCTGTTCAACTCTGTCATGTTGATCAGATTCTCTTTCTTTTTTGTTCTTTAATATTATGGCACGATTTCTCGGATTTATATACATAGACACACATGACCAAAATACTTTCAGAATGATAGTATTTATGCTGTAAATAGCTGTACAACAAATTTCAAGGGTTGTTTTATATAAATAGACCACTAGGGGGCATTGATGTATTAGTTGTAGTCTGCCTTTGCATTGCCACATCTAGCACTTTTACATTTGTTTACTTGATGTGACTGGTATATTGACAGCATTTTCCTTCTGTGATCTTCCTGACATTGATATCCGTGACACTGATAGTGTCCAGATTTAATTCAGTCTCTCTTGGGTTTGCAACATTAGCTTTAATAAAAGGTGGAACAGTTACAATAAAACAGAACAACATTTGGTGAAAAAGATGTATTTTGCATACTATATCGAATAAAGGTGATATGACCACACACTCACTTGCAAATACTATGTGGTGAGTGTGTGGTCATATCTCCTTTATGCAGATTTGTCATCTTTGACCTGCACCTCGGATGGTGTGCATTTGCTTAAGTGTTTTGTTAAGCAACCGTATACTATATCAAAACCAGATCCCATGAGCGAATGATATACATTGCTTTCTATATTTCTGTGATCCAGTGTGTTGTTTAATGCTGAGACTGTGTTGTTTAAGTCTATAGTGATGGCAGAGGCTCACCAGGCAGTAGCTTTTCAGTTCACCATCACTCATGAGGGGATTGACCTGCATCTGTCCTATCAGGCCCTCAATCAAATCTACCTCTCCGGACTGCGATCCTGGAAGAAACGCATCAGTAGGATTAAGGTCAGTGACTCGAATGAGTGTGAAAAAAATTATAAGTCATGTAATTCATAGAACTCATAAGTTTTTTTTAAGTGTTAAAATCTAGAAAATCCTTGGTAATTTCTGCTCCAGTGTTTTGCACTAAAATGTTTTGTTCAATAGCTTTTCTGTGACGTAGCCCAAATGTGTGATGCATGTGTTTGTACATAGGTTGCATTAATACTTTTTGCTTTCTCATGAACAGAACAGAATCATTAAAGGTGTATACCCAGCTAGCCCCTCCTCTTGGCTTTTTGTTGTCATAGCAATCCTGGCCACTATGTACATGCAGTCTGATCCATCTATGGGCATCATTACTAAGATTCGGGAGCACCTCCCCCTTAGGTAACACTTCCTTTTACCCTTCGACAGACTTCATCTTGACTTCTTCTTAAGGGTTAACAGTTGCATGGTAAAATTTGAACTGGAGAAATTAAGCCCTTTTTTCTTATGATGATGAACAGTTGCTCAGGCTTTTTTCCATATTTTTTATTTATTTATTTATTAAATGTTTAATGAACATTTAAATGTTTAAATTATTCCTAATAAACATTTTCTAACAACTCCTTTTGTAAACAAAGGTAATACAAAGGTCTTATATTCCCAATTGTTGGAGTTCTTATTCATTTTTTAATTCTTAGATTCTCCTATCTAATTAATAACTGTTTCTCCCATTTTATTTTAGGAGAACTGACAAATAAGACCATTGTTATAGCAAGAGTATAAAACACATAGAAACAGTATAGGACCGTAAAATAAATGGGAATAGCATATACAATTTATTTATTTATTTATAGTGTGGTATCTTGGAAAATCTGTGCACAGTTTGTGACACGTTAGAGGTCTTTTATGAAACTCTAAATGATGCAGTGTCTCTATTTGTCCTCCATTTAAACTCATTGTTCTTTAGGAGAAACAATAGAGAGATTTTATTTATGGTTTAATCATGTATAAGATTATTCACATCTCACCTGTGTGTCTTTAATTTGCATAGCAGTCCTTTGTTGGTGTAGTCAGTGTTTCATGTGTCCATAATGTTTACATTTACATTTACATTTAGTCATTTAGCAGACGCTTTTATCCAAAGTGACTTACAAATGAGGACAATAGAAGCGATAGAAGTGCTGTGACAAGTCCTGGTTAGTCTAACATAGCAAGTTTAAAAAAAATAAATAAATAAAAAGAATATGTCGAATAAGAAATAGAATAGAAAGAGCTAGTATTATAGGGTTAGTATATAATTTTTTATAGTTAATAAACAGAAAATAAGTAGATAGAAAACGAATTGAGAATGTTAGTGTTAGAGGGTCAAGTTTTGTAAATAAACAAAAGAAAACAAGTAGACAGAATAGAAATAGAATACGGAGTGCTAGTAATAGAGGGTCTAGTGTATATGGAAGTGATGTGGCTAAAGACAAGATGATCGAGTTGGGCAGGTCATTCCACCAGCAGGGAAAAGTTAAGGTAAAAGTCTGTGAAATTGATTTTGTGCCTCTTTGTGATGGCACTATAATGCGCCGTTCACTTGCAGGAAGCAAGCTTCTGGAGGGCACATAAGTCAGAAGAAGTGAATTTTTGTAATGGGGTGCAGAGCCAGTGTTTGTTTTGTTGGCAAGCATTAATGCCTTGAATTTTATGCGAGTGGCAGAGGTGTGACGTGCTCTTTTCGGCTTGTTAAAGACTAATCTTGCTGTTGCATTCTGGATTAATTGTAGAGGTTTCATAGAAGTGGCTGGAAAACCTGCCAAGAGAGCATTGCAATAGTCCAGCCTGGACAGAACAAGAGCTTGAACAGGGAGTTGTGTAGAATGTTCGGATAGAAAGATTAACCTGCAATATTGTACCAACTTTGTAGTCTTTATGAAATGACAACATTTGAGTGTATTTAAACAGCCTAATACAGGGGTGGGCAAACTTGGCCCTTTCAGGTCACTTTCCTTCAGAGTTTAGCTCCAACTCTAATCAAACACCCCTGAACCAGCTAATCATTGTCTTCAAGACTACTAGAAAGCTACAGGCAGGTGAGTTTTATCAGGGTTGGATCAAATCTCTGCAGGAAAGTGGCCTGGAAGGGCCAAGTTTGCCCATCATTGGCCTAATATCAACCTGGAAGAGATTATGCAGATTTTCTCCTCTGTGTTTCTCTCTTGTCAGTCTGTCATTGAGTGCTCAAGGTCAGACTGTCCTATCAGTGCTGCTGTTCAGTACTCTGCTGTGGTTGTCTCTCATTCTGGCTCTGAGGTTCTGCCTAAAGCTTCTCCTATCATACCATCAATGGATGTTTGAACTACATGGACGTATTTCTACCAAGACCAAAGTCTGGGCGGTTAGTACCCTGAAAAAGTAACATTTGTTGTTTTGTTTTTTTTCTCAATATTTTCCGTAAAGATATGCTCTTTTAAACGACTTTCCCTGCCAACATTTTCACTTTCACTACAAGCTGTAAAACAGCTATTTTAGTTACATACAGGTGCATCTCAATAAATTAGAATGTCCTGGAAAAGTTCATTAATTTCAGTAATTCAACTCAAATTGTGAAATTTGTGTATTAAATAAATTCAATGCACACAGACTGAAGTAGTTTAAGTCTTTGGTTCTTTTAATTGTGATGATTTTGGCTCACATTTAACAAAAACCCACCAATTCATCTCAACAAATTAGAATACTTAATATCTTGTGAAGGGTGTCAATGATTGTCTTCTGGACAACTGTCAGATCAGCAGTCTTCCCCATGATTGTGTAGCCTAGTGAACCAAACTGAGAGACCATTTTGAAGGCTCAGGAAACCTTTGCAGGTGTTTTGATTTGATTAGCTGATTGGCATTTCACCAAAGTCTAATTTGTTGAGATAGTGAATTGGTGGGTTTTTGTTAAATGTGAGCCAAAATCATCACAATTAAAAGAACCAAAGACTTAAACTACTTCAGTCTGTGTTCATTGTATTTATGTAATACATGAGTTTCACAATTTGAGTTGAATTACTGAAATTAATGAACGTTTCCAGGACATTCTAATTTATTGAGATTGAGATTTATTGAGAAATGTATTAGAATATACACATTTTCTATTTGACTGTTTCTCTCTCTTGTTTTCCATGTCAGACCCTAGTTAGGTTGCTGTCCAGTAGAAAGCCATTACTGTACAGCTATCAGACATCTTTACCACACCTGCCTGTACCTTCCATTAAAGACACATTGGAAAGAGTGAGTTAGTGCTATGTAAATTAAATTGTGTGCACATAATGTGCGTGAGTCCGTGTTTGGTGGGAAGTGAGTGATGAAAAAAAAGTGATGATAAAAATTGGCAGGGTTCTTGGAGGTTTGGATACCAGTGAATGCTATCTCAGCCGTTCTCTCTATTTCAGTATCTTGAGTCAGTGAAGCCACTGCTAGATGTGGCTGGTTTTCAGCGAATGACAAGACTGGCTGCTGAGTTTGAGAAAAGTCTGGGTAACCGCCTACAAAAATACCTCAAACTTAAAGCACTGTGGGCCACAAACTATGTAAGTGCTGAACAATTCTGAACAATTATTTTCTGGTCAATGTCATAACTATCATCAGTCTTATTTATTATGAACATATGGTTACATACAATACTATAGCTGATTAAAATCAAGTAAAAGTGACAACTGATAATTGATCAATAATGGTAAAATTGTATAGAATCTTAGATGATTAAAGGAATAGTTCAGTCAGAAATAAAAATTTGCTCTTTACCTTCAGGCCATCCAAGATGTAGATGAGTTTGTTTTTTCATCATAACAAATTTGGAGAAACGTAGCATTACGTAATTTGCTCACTAATGGATCCTCTGCAGTGAGTTGGTGCCATCAGAATGAAACATCAAGTAATCCAAACAACTCCAGTCCATTAATTAACGTAGCGAATACACTCAGTTTTTAACTTCACTAGAGGTTAATTGATTGACTAGAGTTGTGTGGATTACTTGTGGAATATTGTGATGTTTTTATCAGGTGTTTGACTCTGACGGCACCCATTCACTGGAGAAGGTCTATTGGTGAGCAGGTGATGTAATGCTAAATTTCATCCCTTTTTTTTCAGATTGGGAAGCAAACTCATCTGCAGCTTGAATGGCCTTAGGGTGAATAAATTTTCAGCAAATTTTCAATTTTGGTTAAACCATTCTTTGAAAACAACTTTATCAAATTGGCAATAATTTTCTAATGTGATCTGAAGAGCTCATTTTGAATTGACTTGACATTTTAAATAGGTTGCAAATAGATGTCCCAGCATTCTGTTGAATAACAACTCTTTAATAGCATTTTTTTTTAAAGCAATGTGCTAATGCTAATACTCTCATAGCCGACTGTATGATCATGTGAATGGTGTGTGTGTATCAGATCAACACAGCGATATTATGAACCTTTGGAGATCTTTAATTTGTAATAGAGTTATTTAGTTTTTTTTATAGACATTTGATTAGGATAATTTAGTCTTATGCAGAGTCAGAATGTTAATTATTTTATTGTATCATCTAGGTTAGTGACTGGTGGGAAGAGTATGTTTATCTCCGGAGCCGGAGTCCCATTATGGTCAATAGTAACTATTATGGCATGGTATGCGAGCCTACACCATTAGTCATTTTCACTTTCAATAATCTAATGCTATGAAAGCAAAGAAAGGAAAATCTCACCCTGCGTTTGGTTATGCACAGGATTTTCTGTATGTGACACCCACGGCTACTCAGGCAGCTCGAGCAGGGAATACTATCACAGCCCTGTTCCTATATCGCCGCAAAGTCAACCGAGAGGAGCTCAATCCTGTATGTGACAAAACTTTGTTTTTAGGTTGTGTTTTTTGTCATGATTTTGTAAGTGGCATCCATGGCTAATCGGACACTTATGTTAAGGTTCAACTACCTATATGTATACAAAATATGATTTATAAATCAGTTGTAAATACAGCAACACTGTCATACTCCTGTATTGTTCAACTGAGAATATTTTGAACAGTTTTGCTATAAGTCTTTGAGATCCTGTACTCTGGTTCACCTAGAGTCGTATTCCTGGTACAGTCATACCTCTGTGTGCAGCTCAGTGTGAACGCATGTTCAACACCACACGCACGCCTGGAGAGGAGACGGGTACACACACACACTCATAGAGACACAAATACACATAAAAAAGTGATCTTATGTCATTGACATAGTCTTGTGATCTCTCAGATGTGCTGCAGCATTGGCAGGACAGTGAGTTTGTCGCCGTGTACCACAGGGGCCGGTATTTCAGGTTATGGGTTTACCGAGCAGGACGCCTGCTGTCACCCAGAGAGATCCAGTATCAGATTCAAAGGATCTTGGATGACCCCTCACCTCCTTCTCCAGGAGAGGACAAACTCGGGGCACTGACAGCAGGAAACAGGTCAGATTCTTAGAAAATCTATGTCTGTGTTTGCTTTCCAGAAGAGGGTGTTATGGGATTTTATGTCAAGCACAGGTACCCAGAGAGTATATGCACATGTATTTGCTCATATTTTTCCTAATTGCCTAGACAACAAAACTGTGAGAGCATTTGAGACTCTGTGGATCTTTAACACATGGTTTAAATGATGGCACATGATATCATATATTTGAATACTGTTATCAACAGTAATTATTTGATGGCCGAAGCCGATAGGGTGGCCAATGGCCGATATATGATATCGCACTACTGAATTTAAAGATAGAAAAAACAGATGCATAGCAATTGTTGAAATTAAATGTATATTTATTTAATTGATTTACTCAATTATATCATTTGAAAAATAATAAATATGAAAAGTAACTTGATAAAAATATGGTCTGTTGGAATTCTTGATTCTGATTGGCTGGAAGGTGTGCAATAAAATCGTTTAATACACAGATAGTTCCAGTCAGTTTGATCACAGTTCTAAATGAATGTGCTAGCCTCAAAAATTAGTAACCATAGTAACTCAGTGACAGTTGCACACCGATTGTAAACATTTCGTGTTTTCTATGTCATTTAACTTGTACGGTGAATACGGTCATTTTAATAAACGAGCAGAGGCCCAAGATAAACTTGACCTGGAGAAGACGTCAAAAAAGGAAAGTAATAGCGAAAAGCGGTACAAGGAATGAACACTAGAAGAGTAGTAATCTGATATGTTTGTGCACACTGGGAATCATATTTTTTCAAATAACTTAGTGCTAATTTTACATACAGCACACAATGAATATGACATGAATACGTCATGGCTGCAAAAAAAAGCAGTTTGAAATCGATCATGCGTGTTTAGTGAAAGCACACCTCTCCAGTACGGATCCAATTCACATGTTTTTATGCAGTCTACAAATGCACACTTCAGAGAATCTCACAGCTACATTCAACAAAATTTGCAAGGTTAGTTAAAGGGGTCATATGATGTTGCTAAAAAGAACATTATTTTGTGTAATGAAATGTGTTTATGCGGTTTAAAGTTAAAAAAATACATTATTTTCCACATACTGTACATTATTGTTTCTCCTCTATGCCCCACCTTTTTGAAACGCGTCGATTTTTACAAAGCTCATCGGTCTGAAAAAACGAGGTGTGCTGTGATTGGCCAGCTAGCCAGTGCGTTGTGATTGGCCGAATACCTCAAGCGTGAGACGAAAATGTTACGCCCCTCACCATACTGTGATGCTGTGATGCTGAGACAAAAGCATTAAAACCCATTACAAACGAGGCATTTGTTGCATCCAGTGGGGACATAATTACTGATTATAATGACTTATTCTGTCTTTTTACGCGTTGCGTTGCATCGTGCCGCGTAAACATAAAACCCTGTCTGCATTTGTGATCAGAGAAATGACAAACAACAAGTGCTACTCTACTGCCCAAAACTCGCGTTTGAATCATCAGTGGCAAATGATGAAAAGAAAACGTACTTAAGTGAGTCAGAACTGCCGGCATTTTAGTCTAACGTTACTCTCCCAGGATCAGTAAACAGTCCTCCATAAAATGTGCCGGCGATCCACAGCACCAAGTTGATGTATTCCCTCAGCGACCAGCACAGATCAGCTCTAGGCATGACGAAGAGAGCTTCCTCTTTTGGAAGACCAAACAAAGTAGTTTCGCTTTCAAAACAAAACACACAGCGTCTTCAGGACATGGCGGCAGCGGCAACAATACTACAGTGAGAATAAATGTTACGCCTTCTTTCTTTGCGTGAACATTTGGGCGGCGTTATGCAAATCTTCCTACATAGTGAGGTAGATATGTGGGGGTGTGTAAGAACGAGCCGTTTTAGGTAGGCATGGCTGAATCTGAACTTATATAAAAAATATCTCTTTGGATTTGAGACTTTAGTCTTTGCACATTTACAGATCTTCTTTATGCACCAAGAGCTTGTAACACTCCAAAGAGAAAGGAAAAAATGAAATCGTATCATATGACCCCTTTAAATGATTATTAGATATTCAGAGACTTGTTTAGGTGAAATGCATATATGCTGAATGCTGACGGTAGATGACAAAGTATTGTAGCATTTGCCTTTCTGTTACTATTAATCGAAAAGCAAAAGCTATAATACTTTTTCGTATACCTTTACTAACTTTGTTTAAAAAAAGTTCTGTATAATAATATATTAGTCAGAACTGTTAAACAAAGACAGTAAACTTGATGAATATGGAAAACGGAGCTCCATGCGCACAGGCAATGACAAATAGTGGCCGATATATCGGCATTGGGGACCACTAGTGAAGACTCCCCAGAGGACAACAAATGAAGAATGCTACAAACAGAATGATGCATCCTCAGGAGACAGTAACCTTAGAAGAGTATTTTTAAAAATACTGATTAGGAAGTAACAAAGTTTTTTATATATTATGGTAACAATTTACATTAAAGATGCAGTAGGAAATCTTGGAAAATGCTAACTTTAGCCTGATAGCACTGAAAGCGAACGTCCCACTCGCCCTGCAATCGCTGTCGAAAGCCACGCCCCCTGATCGCATTTACGCTCACAGACCAGAATACCAGTGACAACATTACAATATCACTCCTCCGTGATAAAAAGCGATAATATAAGAGAGTTTAGAGTTTTGTTTATAATTTTTGGTCCTTACATACTTCCATTTTTGTTTTTTATAGACTTTTAATATTACTCTATAGGAAATGCTATAAAGAATGAGCCGTTCCCAATTCCAGTCCTCGTGCCCTCCTGCTCTGCACATTTCATATATATCTCTTATCACGTGCGACGTTTGTTCTATTTGACCGTAAGTGCCCTGGGAAGTGTACATCACCGGATATTCCGCCATGATTCCAGTTCAAAGCGAGCATATATGTTCCATGCAAAGTGCATTAAAGTGTGCGAGACGTGAATTTAAATAGTAATTATTTACAGAGTTATATTATGTCACACTTCACACTTCTCTAGTAAGTTTTGTCTGTGTGTGAAGACGCTGCACAGCGCAAACCCGTGAATGAATGTTCCGAATTTCCCCTGCTTCCCTTGCGCGAGGACTGGAATTGGGAACCGCTGGGCTACATCATGTGTCATTCACCAGTGAGAAAACTTTATAGTACAGTTAGAAAAAGTACTACAGTACCATGAAGGAAGATCGGCTTGTTGATGTTTGTCTGCCATTCTTGCTCTGTCTGCACGGTGTGAACGCGCGCTGATGACGTATTCTGTCTGCACGAACAGGGTGCGCAGAGGTATGCAAATACATATGTTGACAGGCAGGTAGGAAAGCCAATTAAAATGCTCGGACCGAGCATTTTGATTGGACGAACATTTCTTGGTCCTACGCCTTCCACAGAATATATAAATACAGATAAATGCATTTAGACCACTTAACTTAATGATTGCTATCGGGATGTGAAGACTTTCAACCAGCATAACAAAAAATGTTTCTGAAGACAATCACCTATTGCCCCTTTAAGGTTTCATTTGTTAACATTACTTGCACTAGTAAACATGAACAAATAATGAACAATATTTCTACAGCATTTATTAATCTTAGTAAATGTTCATTTCTACATTTTAATACATTTAAATACATTTTTAAAAATCAAAAGTTGTAACATCATTAGTTAATGCAGTGTGAACTAACATGAACAAACAATGAGGATATGTATTTTTATTAACTAACTTTAACAAAGATTATTAAATGCTGTAAAAATATAAACTGTGACTACATACATTTTTAACATAACAAAAATTAAAGTTATTTTTAGTTGGATCAATCAGTGAAGGAAAAGCATCATCAAGTGTGCAGTATACTGCACACGGGAACTCCTCCGTGATAAAAAGCGATAATATAAGAGAGTTTAGAGTTTTGTTTATAATTTTTGGTCCTTACATACTTCCATTTTTGTTTTTTATAGACTTTTAATATTACTCTATAGGAAATGCTATAAAGAATGAGTAGATCAATAATGCAATGTATTATAACAGCTGCGCACAATTCAATGTGAATATTGCACTTATTAACCTTTTAAGGTTCACTTATTAAGTTAATTTATTAAGTTAGATTGTTTACAAAAGTGAATCCATCAGTTAATCCATTAACTGCAGAAATTTCTGTAAACAGTGTGCAAACCTTTCAGAAAAATTCCCTCACCATATTTGCAATAATTTTCACAATTTCATTTTAAAGCTGCAGTCCTTAAGTTTTGCCTCATTGTCGCCATCTCTATTTGAAAACCTGCAATTGCAGCTGTGTGCGGAATTATCTTCCTTGCATGGGTTGTGGTCCGGCACGGCTCCAGCGCGGATGAATCTAATGTTTTGAGGTGAATGTGTGGCAGTCAGTCACCGCACCGATGTGGATAATGTACTTTGCACTCACAGATTCTAGCCTACGTCTTGGAATATGACTCAAACTAAATTTTTTTACCAGATATTGTCATCTGAACAAGTAAGTAACAAGTCTGCCATGTTTGTTCGGACCAACTGAGGAAAAAAAGCATTAAAATAAATCGCGCTACCAATGGTGATTAAATCTAAATTAAACTAGATTAAATCTAGCTCATATCACATCAAACCGTGCAAATTATTATTATCGTTATACTTTATTCTCAAATTGTTAATGTTAACAACATCAGCATTGCGTGACTATGAGTATAGTGTGTATAAGCAGTAGATTTCAATTTGTGTACAGTAATCTCTAATTGTCATACCACTCGATATTTAAAGCTGCAGTCCGTAAGTTTTGCCTCTTTGTCACCATATCTGTTTGAAAACCTGCAATTGCAGCTGTGTGCGGAATTATCTTCCTTGCATGGGTTGTGGTCCGGCACGGCTCCAGCGCGGATGAATCTAATGTTTTGAGGTGAATGTGTGGCAGTCAGTCACCGCACCGATGTGGATAATGTACTTTGCACTCACAGATTCTAGCCTACGTCTTGGAATATGACTCAAACTAAATTTTTTT